CGTCGTTGTCGTCGTCTTCGGGGATGCTGTTTGTTGTTCGGAGGTCGCGAGCCGTCGGTTGCCGTCGGTGTTTTCGTTGTTGTCGTTGTCGGTTGTTCGCGTTGTCCTCGTCTCGTCGACGTCGCCGTCGCCGTCGTCGCATCATCAGCTGTATTCGCGGACGGGCGCGTCTGCCCTAAATTTGAAATCTCAGCGTGGTTTTGGTTTTCAACCCGAGGCGTGTGGATGGTTTGCGTGCGTGGTTTTGAAAGTGTTTTGGCGCGTGGCCACGTGAATGGATGCGAAGAGGACGCGAAAGTGGGAGCGGCGTTGGGATGGAGGGGGGGGAACAGGAAGGTGGACCGACGACCGAAGTGGAGCTGGAGAAGGTTAGATTGGGATTGGGGGGGAGGAGGAGATGAGCAAATTGTGTTTTCGTGAGGAAGTGGTGGGAGTCGCGAGTGGTGGCCGCAAAGTCTGCGCGACCTTGATTTTTTCTTCGTGTTGCGCCGGTCATTTCGGGATCTGCTGCTATTCCGGATCTTAGTGCGTCTCTGTCTCGGCGTTGTGCACCCGTTCATTCGTGATGTCTGCCGTTGCACGATTCCCTACCGTAAACGAGGGATGTGCTGGAAGGACAGGTGCGCGTAGAGATTTGACGGCGTGGTTTTTTTCTCTCGGCGGACCCCAGTGGCGTTGGGAAAATTCTCGTCAGGACGGGGTGTAGTTCCGTTGTATTTTCGGGTGGTACGCGATTGTGTCGGAGGATTCGGATTCGAGTGGGTTCAGCTTTCAGGATTCCTAGTATTCATTTCTCTGCTTGTTTCGGGTTTCGTCTGCCGTCGGTCCTGGGTTTGCTCCTTGGAGATTCTGGGTTTCGGTTCCTGGATCCGGGTTTCGGCTGGGCCGATTCCGGATTTCGCTTCGTTCTGGGTTCTGGGTTTCGCCTTGAAAAATTCTGGGTTTCACGCTCTGACCCTCGCACGGAACCCACAAGGATTCCTCGGCATGAGTCAGGGATTCGTCAGGGGTTCTGTAGGGATTCATCCGGATGTCTATTTCTGCGACTGCTATCACTACTACTACTACTACTAATACTACTACTACTACGACTACTACTACTATTACTACTACTAACTACTACTACTACTACTACGACTACTACTACTACTACTCCTTACTACTACTACTACTACTACTACTACTACTACTACCACTACTACTAACTACTACTTACTTCTACTTCTACTTCTACTGCTACTACTACTAATACTACTACTACTAAACTTCTACTTACTTACTACTACTACTACTACTACTAACTACTACTACTACTACTACTACTACTACTACTACTACTAGGCCTACTAGTATTACTAGTACTACTACTACTCCTACTAGCTACTACTTAACTACTTACTACTACTACTAATTAACTACTACGACTAGTACTATACTACTACTATACTACCACCACTACTAATACTCCTACTACTACTACTACTACTACTACTATACTACTACTACTACTACTACTACGACGACGAACTAACTACTACGACTACGACTACTACTACTACTACACTACGACTACTAACTACTACTACTTACTAACCACTAATTCTACTACTAACTAC